ACAATTTGAACAACTTGAATCAATGAGGATAAGTTTTTGACAAAATCACCTCAGAGGTTGGACCATTTTTGTGTATTGACTTTCCAATCCTTTTTACTGACTAAAATGGATCAATATTTACATCTATGTCACACCTCTATTCTCTTCCTTGAATGTTGATATAATGTAGCTTGGAAAAATGAGTGAAGTATAGGGACCTTATTATAAATTATTGAAGCTTGAATTAACAAAAAGTATAATTGATAGAGAAGATCAAGAGCATATGTGGAGTCCCTAAAACCTGTATGAGGTCCCCCTTTCCCTCTCCATCTTTCCCATGATACCAATAACTATAAAGACATTGACAACAACAACCAACCATATGGGTATTTGAATTTTATTTGTGCAAATTAACTAACATGGATCATAATTTTATCAAGATGAATTTGATGGTGTGATTTAGGCCTGTCAACAAATCAGATTTTGAATTCGAATCCGATCAGAAAAATTTGAATCAATTAACTAATATCCAATCCGGTAAAATCAGAATTCAATTGATTCGATTATTGTCGGGTCGGATTCAATTAGATCTAATCTAATCCGATTTTTGTAATTTAATTTTTACATGTATATATATTGGACTACTATTCAATGTGTTGGGCTTAAGTTTTTTAAAAATTGAGTTTTTTTGTTTTTCTTATTTTTTTGTTTTTAGTGAATATTTTTAAAATTTTAAGCATTTTTTTTACTTTTTTAGATGCTTCTTACTTAGATGAATCTAAAAAAAAAATATTTGTGAAAAAATATTTTAAAAAATTAATAAATACAAAAAAATACAAAAAATGTATTGAATTTTCTTTTTTTTTTTTGTATTTTTGGTATTTAGTGAATTTTTTTATAAAAAAAATCACAAAAATTATACTTTTTAAGTGTATCTATGTTAGGTGTGTCTAAAAATTAAAAAAACTGCTTAAAATATTTAAAAAATTCAATAAAAACAAAAAAATACAAAAAATAAGAAAGTAATTTCTTTTGAAAAGTATTTTTAAAAAACTCAAACCAAACAAAGTTATTATAGGTTTAAAATAATGGGCAACAGCAACCCAAAAAATTAAGAAAGTCAAATTCAATTTTAATATATAGTATTATCGGGTCAGGTCAAATATGAATTAGGTGCTTGGATAAACCGGATTTGGATGAACTCTTATCGGATTAGCCTTCCCCTAAAATCATAATTTGATTGATCTAATAACTGTTGGATCGGTTTGAGATAGATCCGATCCAATCTAATATTCATACTTTAGTTTTAAAATTTAGATATAGGATTGTTATTTTTTCAAAATACTAATGGCCAACAACCACCCCAAAAATTAATAAAATTAACTACGATTTTTTTTTTAACAAAATATATATATATATATATATATAGGTTGGGTTGGGTTGAATTTGAATTGGGATCCTGGCTAAACTGGATTCAGATGAACTTTTATCAAATTATCCGTTCGATAAAATCATAATCCTATTGATCCAATTATTGTCAGATTCAGATAGATTCGAATCCAATATGGCATATATGGGACTAACATTTTTAAAAAATAATGGTCAACAACAACCCAAAAAATTAAGAAAGCCAATCAGTGTATTTGGTTTGAATTTTTTGAATTAAGTTTTTGAAAAATGAGTTTTTTGGTTTTCGTGTTTTTTTTTTTTTGTTTTAGTGAATATTTTTAAAATTTTAAACATTTTTTTTACTTTTTAGATGCACCTTACTTAGATATATCTAAAAAGTACAAAAAAAATGTGAAAAAATATTTTAAAAAATTAATAAATACATGAAAATACAAAAAAAATACTGAATTCTTGTATTTTTTTTATATTTTTGGTATTTAGTAAATTTTTAAAAGGTTTTTTTTTCACAAATTTTTTACTTTTTAAGTATATTTATGTTAGGCATGTCTAGAAAGTACAAAAAATTATTTAAAATATTAAAAAAATTCAGTAAAAATAAAAAAATACGAAAAATAAGAAAGTATAATTTTCTTAAAAGTATTTTTTGAAAAAATGTAACCAAGCATTTTTTTTTTAAAAAAAAAGTATTATCATAAATCAGATTTAATTTCTGGATAAACCAGATTTAGATAAATTCTTTGGATTAGTTGTAATTGGATCGGATCAGATTATGCCAAATTCCATCTGAATCCGATCCATTGACAACTCCTAATGTGAGGTGTCGGCATTTGCACAAGCTAGCTAGCCAATATATTTCGAACTTCTAGACAATCCCATTTGCCGACTATACGATTTTTAAGGTGATGATATTTTCACATTGCCTAGTGCTTCCTCATGGAGAAGCATGTCTTGATTGAGAAATTGACTTCTAACAACTTTTATTGGCTCCATAGAAAAAATCTTCGTCTCAATTTAAATCCAACTTGAGCATGGAGTCATCTGTCATTATTGACAAGTTAAGAATGTCAACAGTACTACTACTTCGTTTCATCTGTCAATCAAATTTTGTTTTGAAATTACATATATGTATTTATAGCTCGAAACTCACTTCAAAAGACAAATTGATCTCAATGGAGAAGGACTTTCTTGTTTGTTTTTGGAAGTATTTAGAACATGGTCCTTCTAAAAATTTCAAGCCACATTCACAAGGGCCACAAAAGCATTCGCGTGCTATATATAGAGGTTGAAAGCGATCTAGTTCTTCTTTCTTCTTCTAATTTATTTATTTATTTTTCTTTCACTCTCTTGTTTTTCAAATAATTTAGACAATATCAAATGATTTAGTAGGAGTTCTTGGTGTGAGGACATAATTTTTGAATGATAACACGTGGCCGAGGTGTCACCGAAATGCCAGCCGAGGTGCCACGTGTCCTGATCATGACGCCGAGATGATCTCGGCTAGGCCGAGGTTATCTGCGAAGATAAGGGAATTCGGGATAAGCGGATAAGGGACAAGAGTTCTAGAATGAGAGAGGACTTCAGCTTGGGTAAAGATAAGACTCTTAGAGAGTTTATCCTAATCCTACTAGGAGTCTAAGATTAGCAGTAATCCTAAGTCTATTGAAGCTAGGCTTCTATTGGGACTAGGTTTGTGTTGGCTATAAAAGAGAAGCACCCTCATGGGTCTAAGGTATGCTTTTATGCTCTGAATACACTTTTGCTATCTTTGAGAGATAACTGACTTGATCGTCGGAGTGCTCCCGAGTGGATGAACCACTGCCGGAATCTCTTCTTTTTGTGACAGGTTGTTCGGGCTTAATCTATTTTGCCAGTGTTCTCCAGCTGAGTGATTAATTGGCAGTGTGGTCGGAAATTGACACACACAATTTGGCGTCGTCTGTGGGAATGAAAGGAGAATAAATGGCCAACGACGAACATAAAGAGAAGGTTAGGGACGACACCCCTACTGAGGGTGGGAAACATATTGACCTTGACATCGAGGAAGACAACTGCAATGAAGAGACTCATGATAAGAATCATAGAGGAAAGAACGTTAGCTAAGAGGGCAGCATACCGAAGAAATCGGACCAGAGCGGGTATTATAACGAGGACGACCTCCAGGTATGGAAAGATAGATGCCTGAGGAGGGACGACGAGATTAAGGAAATGACGAACAAATTGGCAGACCTGCAAACGGTCGTCAATTTCCTAATGCAGATCAACATCATGCAGCCATCGTTCCCGCTACAAGATATGCCGATTCCAGCGGCCAAGAAAGGTGCCCAGAAAGGGGGGCAGAAAACGACTCCTGCAGTCCCTTAGCATGGCGGGACCAAGGGACATTTTCACCAGCCTTCACGGGAGGTCGGGCATGGAGAATCCCAGAAGACACGATCTCGGCTTAGATGATTAGGTCCGAGAAGAGAAGAGTTCAGCCTAAAGTGAGCAGATCTCAGATTCCAGAAGACAAGATCTCGGCCTAGACGATTAAGTCCGAGAAGAGAAAAGCTCAGCCTAAGTTAAAGACTTTTTATATAAGGTCTACAAAGGAGTAGATGGAAGTCATGCAGAGGGCGGGAGAATGATGCTTAGGAGTTGGAATTTTCAAGCCAAAATCTGTTTAACACTTGTTGAAATTTAAGAAAAATTTACAAGTTGAAGTTAAACCGAGGTCATATTTAACACTTGTTGAAATTTTAAGAAAAATTTACAAGTTGAAGTTAAACCGGGGTCATGATTAAAGAATAGAATGATATAGGTTCCATCACATCAGGATGCTGAGGTAATAGAACCTAGAGAGCAGTTGTGGGAACATAATTTTTGAATAACAACAAGTGGCCGAGGTGTCATCGAAGTGCCAGCTGAGGTGCCACATGTCCTAATCATGATGCCGAGATGATCTCGGCTAGGTCGAGGTTATCTGCGAAGATACGGGAATCCAGGATAAGCGGATAAGGGACAAGAGTCCTAGAATGAGAGATGACTTCAGTTTGGGTAAAGAGAAGACTCTTAGAGAGTTTATTACAATCCTACTGGGAGTCCAAGATTAGCAATAATCCTAAGTCCATTGAAGCTAGGTTTCTATTGGGACTAGGCTTGTGTTGGCTATTACAGAGAGGTACCCTCATGGGTCTAAGGTATGCTTTTATGCTCTGAATAGTGAGTTAAGCACTTTTGCTATCTTTGAGAGATAACTGACTTGATCGTCGGAGTGCCCCCGGGTGGATGAACCACCGCCAGAATCTCTTCTTTTTGTGACAAGTTGTTCGGGCTTAATCTATTCTGCCAGTGTTCTCCAGCTAAGTGATTGATTGACAGTATGGTCGAAAATTGACACACACACTTGGCATGTTTTGTTGATGGTTGGTGTGTCTGTTTCATCATTAGACATACTAACATTATGTCCATCACATATGTTGTTATGGAAGTTGTCATAAACACCTTGTTTCATTTTGGACACCTCATCAATTTTTTTTCTAATTATTATTTTTTTATTTTTGGGTTCTTTGCCGAGAGGGGAACGGGATGAAGAGATCTACATTGCGACATGAGTCAATTTCTCAAAAAGCCTATTTATGAATATGATGGAATAGTTTTATTAATAATAAGCTTGATGAAGATTTCCCTATTGCTATTGTACACAAAATATGCTAGCACATATCATTATTTTATAATGTCTGAAAACTTCTGAATTGCAAAATGTATAAGATCTATTGTCATAGATCATGAAATACTAAAATTATGACAATTTAAAGAATTCAATCCTATATATATATATGTGTGTGTGTGGGCGCGATTCCATATTGAAGAGGTCACGAAATTAAGGCGTCTTTTTATCCACCTTGGACATGGCTTGATGGCAAAGGGATGCTTGTTGGCTGCGTTGTTTGATTGACTTGTTGTCGATAAAGTGCTGCCATCTTGTTGTAGAGATCCATATTCATAGATTGCTGTGAAAATAATCAAATCAACCAAATAACTAAATATATTTGAAGCTATAAAATGTGAGCTTACTAATGTATTAATTTGCTTTCCTTTCAGTGTGCTAAGAAGCAACTTCTAGGAATGATGACATTCTCATGGCTTATTTAGTGTCAAGTGATAGAATTTGATCATTTGTATTGTCTTTATTGATACCAAAAAAAGATTTGTTTTCAAAACTTGAAAAATTATGTGTGTTTTTTTCACATACTTGTGCTAGAAATGTGCAATATGGATCAGGAAAAGGGACCGAGTTGTTGCTGACTGTAGCATCGGGAGTTGGTGGTGCTTGAGCACGGGTTGGAATCATGGGAGGCATCATAAAGGGAGGGGGAACAAATGTGGGAGTAACAGAAGCAACTGGTGGCGGATGGATGAGCCCTCCAAGCCCGACGCCCATGCCCATTCGAGCTAGGAGAGACATTTGAATGTGTTGTTGCATTGCTAGAGGCATCATCATTTGGGGCATGTTTCTTGCACTACTCATCATGTGAACTTGTGCTTGGAGTTGCTTTAAGTACTCAATCACCTCATCAAGCATTGAAGCTTTATCAGTCTGCAAATTTCAGAAGTAGGACCAAATGAGAAGCACATTTTTAGTCATCCTAATGCTCATATAACCACATTTCTAAGTGACCCTTTACAAAATGTCACCACCAAGGGTGGTAGCCTAACGGGTGGGAGCTCACTCTCGTTGAATTTGGTAAGTGGCTTTGAGTCCAAGTCTCTATGGGACAACCTGGTTTCCATCTAGGCTAGGATTCTCTGTAATAATTTTTTTGTACAATAATTTGCAATGCTTTGAATGAGAGTGACAAACCATTTAAAAATTATCGCAAGGAATTATAGTTCTTCCCAATCACCGCTAGTCTCAACCTCCGCTTACCAAAGGACACTAGTAGGGCTAGGGTCAGGTTATTACTCAAGCCTGTCTTGAGAGAGTGCATGTGGTTTTTTTGTGTGTTGTACACCCACTTTGCTAAGCCCGTCTAAGTCTCTTCGCTCCCTCTACCCTTTTAATCAAGCAAAAAGAACTCTCCACAATAATAGTAACAAAAGGAATGATGCTCTCACCTTACTTGAATTTGGAACTAGTCTTTGCAGAGCTTTCATTTTCTGATTGATCCGATCTCTACGTCTCTACATGAACATAGGATGACACTTTAGTCAGCTGCTATGACATTGTTGTACCACAATCCAAATAGCTTTCATATGGAATTAGTGCTTGAAAAAAACTATAGGTTATTTAAAATGCATCTTGAAATTATTAGTACTGCTTAAATATTGTTCAAATGTAGATTGAAGTACGTAATCTTTACCCGCTCTGACTGATTATGGTTGGCAGCAGCTCGACTACGCCTTGTCGAAAGAGAGCGGACTGTTTCGCATTTGGTCTCTCGCTCTTCATCCAGGTTTTCCTATTAAAATTAAGAGAAATTTGTAAAAAAAAATGCAACTAAAAGTGAGTAAAAATAGTTACAATTGATGCGACTCAGATGTAAAACTAAGAATAAAAAAAAAATTAACAATGTAAACTATAGTAAGTGATGTCAACTTTAAGAAAAAAATGTTATTGTTCCAAATATTAATCAAAATAGTGTTCTAATTAAAATATTTTCTCCTTCTTGGAAGATGGAAGAACATTTTCCTATGACTTGAACATATAATCTTTTCAACCTCCAAAATTCAATCTATGTATACTTTCTTTTCTTTTTTTAAATTCAATTTAAGTAGTTAAGGATCTAATAATGAAACTAAACACAATTATGACATTAACACTGCAAACACATCTAGTTAACATAGGAATTATTCATTGATCAAATATATGTGATGTGCAAATTTGATAGTTACTGGTCTAAATAGTGGGATTTATCACTCGTGTTATAAAAGATACAATAAAAGGTGAAAATTGATAAATAATATGTAACATTACTACAGAAACTAATTCTTTGTATTAATCACAGTCGTGTTTGTCATCTATTGGTGCTAATATAACGTCCAGTTTAAATTCCCTCCAATCCACAAATTATTTAGGCCTGTGAAATCTATCGTGGGTTTTATTTTGGTAATCTGATCAAATACTCTCAAATGAATTTGATAATTGTAGTCACATTATTTTATTAAATTTGTCTTTTGAAAAATGAATTATCTAGTTTAAAATCCAAATTAATCTAATAATCGTAGACACCTAGTTTTATAGATTTGTCTTTAAAAAAATCACTCATCTATTTTAAAATCATATTTATTGTCTATTTTTTTATGATAAAATTAACAAATTATCTGAATAAAGTTTTTGTATCAATTTGATTTTTTTATTTTATAAATGATATATCCACAAAAATAAACTATAAAAATCAATAATTCAAATAATTAAAACGTAGCCCAATTTATACAATCCAATTCACCACGTTGTTTGACCGGAGAAAAACTTGCTTCCTACAAGTACAACCCTCGAGATTGGTGCATTCATTGGTTTGTTTTTTCTTTGAAGCCCCCGTTAAATAATGGTTAGTCGTGTCCGTAATCTGCATCGTGAACTTGATGGTATTGTTGGACTTATGGAGCTTATCATATGTTTTATTTTAATAATTTAAATTGGTTAATGTGTAAAATTTGTTAAATGTTTAATTTTATAGAAAATTATGTTGATTAGATATCAATAGCTATTTAATCAAATTAGATTTTTATTAATAATTTATTTTAAAAATTATATTTATCGTTGACAAAAATTCAATCTGATCAAATAGCTATTGATATCCAATTAATATTAATTTTTACAAAGATAAAATATTCGACGATCTCTACACATTGAAGATTCAAATCATCGAAATAGAACCTATGGTGAGACTCCACAAACCTAATAGCACACTCTAATCCAATTTCGGACTAGAGAACAGCCTGGCCCAAATAATAAATGTTTACAAAGTAGCTGTTGAAAGTTGTATGATGATGACTATAAGAAAGGCAATATGAATTAAGGTACAACGCACATTCTAAAATGTTTATCTACATTAATAAGTATATATGCTCTCCAAAGAAAATCCTTACATACATTTATAACTAAATACTATGTACTCTAAAAAATAAAAATAGGTAAATATTAACAAATGTCCCGTATGTATTATTTTACATACATTTATAACTAATACTATGTACTCTAAAAAATAAAAAATAAAAATAGGTAAATATTAATAAATGTTCCGTTTGTATTATTTACTGTTAAGATTAGTGTAAAATGTGTTTTGGAAATTGTGAAAAGGTTAGAAAGTGTTAAAATGAGTGGAAAGTGTTATAAAATGAGAAAATATCAAATCAGTGTAATTTTGTAAAAATAATTATGAATTAGTGAGAAATTTTACAAATATTAATAACTAAAATTATAAATTTTTCATGAATTTGTATTTTTTTTTTCAAAATCCCACTGGGGTACAAGTACCCTTATAAAATTAAGGGAAAATTTCAAGTCAATGTTGTAAAAGTAATTACAAATCAATGAGAAACTTCATAAATATTAATAATTAAAGTTATAAACTTTTTTCATGAATATATAATATTTTTTTCAAAATCCCACTGGGGTGCAATTACCCCTAAAATTAATTTAAAAAAAATGTATTGGATTCTACACTTATTTTATCTTTTTTCATGGGAGAAAGTATGACTCACATGTACCAAGTTTAAAGCTACAGCACAAATTTAATTCTAGACACTTTTCTTAATATTTTTTTTTTTTTTCCTGAATGCATAACATTTCTTTATGTTTATATATGTATATTAACATATGTTGGTGAAAGAAATAGTCCAAATAAAATATATATATATATATTTGAAAAAAAGAAAAGAAGATTCATGTGCACATACAATAAATAAGACTTTCAGGGACAAAATCAAAAGTAAAAATTTTGTTACAAAAAATATTTGGCTCTAATTCTTGTCGTTGCGAAGATAATCGCTAAAAGGAAATCTTAAATAGTCAAAAAAACAAAGGACTTTTGGTAAATGTCACTAATAAATGATTTGGTCCCAAAAAAAAAAAATTGTGACAAAAACTTTGGTCCAAAAAAAGATAGTAATTCATCACTAAATGTCAAATTTTGTCGCTAAAAATATAATGACACTTTTAGCAATAAAAAAAAATTATTCATAAAATTTTATATCTAAAATCTTAATTTGTTATAGTGACACTACATACACCAATCTATTAGTTTGTGAATATGATTGTTTCAAAATTTGTAACACAAATATTTAGATGATACATCAATAGTTATAAAACATATACAGTTTTTAGTTACGTGTAGTGCCAATTTTTAAACATGATTATGGATCTATTTCCAAATTCAGTGACTAATTTATTTTTATTTTTTTGGAACATTCAAGTGACTAAATTAAATTTGAGCAGTATTTTACCGATCTATCTTGACAAGCCGAATCCTCATCGGTGGTTTTAGTCTTCAAGCTTGAAGGAGATTCAAAAGAAGCCCATGTCGCCATAGTAGCATCGTTGTCCTTACAAAATGTTGCACTAGGACTAGCACAAGCACTGCGGTCTGTAGGCTCTTCTTGAATAATGCTACTACTAAAATTTTTCCCATATTGCTCGGATTTCGACCGCATCTGTTTTCCGACCAAAATTGGAGCGGTGCGTGCACAGGCAGAAATCTCGGCCCATTTTCCGACAAAGGATGCACCAGTAGAGCTAATATCGGCCGGAGTTGGATCATGTTGAGGCACAACATTTGGATTTTGTTTGTGGTATGTAGCTTGATGGACTATGGACTCCAGTGTGTCGCCGGACCTACCACCTGTTGGCTTTGTTGGGGTTGTGGGAAGGAGCCCACCAAGCCCATGCATGGCTAGCTGGCCATTTTCCCAAGTTAATTCTGCAACTTCATAGGTAGACCTGAATTTCGAGTATTATGTGAGTTGTAGTCATCTCCTAAGAAAATAATATACAAATATAAAATGATGTGATAATAACGTTTTTCAAATTATAAACTTAAGTTATTTTGAGTCTTTTATTTTGAAATAATAGAATCACAATTCACATCATTTTGTATAACAATTCTAGATAAATATTTTATTTGTATATCAATACTAAAAACGAAATACAAACTAAAAGAACTAAAATAGAATAATTTGATTGTTACATGCAAAAGCAATAATTGGTTTGCTGACCTTGTTCACCTAAACTAATAAATTATGGTACTATTTTGAGAAGAAAATTGAAGTTGTTTGCTGATTTGAAGAATAAAAGTATTAATGCTTAAACTCAAAGTAGGAAACTACTTTGGACAAGTGAAGGAACTGAAAAGAATTAGTCATATGAAACAGCTGAAAAGTGGGTTAATGCATTTTTTTGGAAAAAATAAAAATAAAAATAAAAACACTTGTTACCATGAATCAAGATGAAAGAGTGAGATAGGCAACAATGTACTGTTGATGAATTTAGGGCTAACAAAAGGAAAGAAAATTGAGAGTCTTTATGATAAAAGAGAAAAAAAAGAACACTTAAGCGATTTAGAAATCGCAAGTCAATCATAAGTTCAAATATCATAAAGCATTTGATCCCCTTGAGCCACTCAAGGATTTTTGTCCAATAATTATTCAATATATGTGGGATGATATTGTATACAAAAGATTAGCTATTTCGGGGGCTAATTGAAGCAAATACCTCCCATTACTAAAAAAATAAAAATAAATAAATAAATGAAACTTGTAAAGATGAATAACAATGGAAATACTAAAGTGGAAAAGAAAGCAGACATAATTTAGAGGGGAAAATAGAAATTTATAGTAAAATACAAAAATAATTCACAGTACTAAAATAGAATATGAAGAATATGAAAGAATTTTCACTTTGTCTCTTTTAATGGAGAAACTAAGTGAAGATTGTATGTAGCAAGGAAAGAGAAGTCCATAGGAGGAAAGAAAGAGAGAAAAAAATCACATAAATAAATAGGAGAGAAGCAAGAGAAGCAAAAGAAGAAACTTTGGGAAGAGGAGTACAGTGAGTGAGAGTATACTTGGGGGGGACAAGAACATGATGAGTACTGGGTCTTGGGGAGTTGTTGTGCACGTGAGAGGATCTGTTTCCCTCTTCTCCTTCTTCTACTCCTTGCTGCTCTTGTCTTTGTTGTTGCCTCTTATTCCAATTAGATACTATCCACTCACTCATGCTGTTGATGCCTAACTTTATGCTCTCTCTCTCTCTCTCTCTCTCTCTCTCTCTCTCTTCTAGTTAATGGGAGCTTTGAGTTTGAGTCTGGAGTCTGGAGTTTCTCTTATATATTGTCTTGTATATATGGTCCACTCTTGTTGTGAGTACTTCACATGTAGTTTGATAGAGATTATACACAAAACATGTGGTAGCAAAAGAACGCCTGATATGTAAAATGGTCCAACACCAAGTGGATATGCCTTTGGCTTCCTCCTCACTGGTCACTCAACTCCAAGAAATTTTATTGTTTGTAACATATGTAGTTTTGGTTATGATTTTTATAATATTTTATTATAATATATGTTAGATCATTTTAATATTTTTTATTTATTTATTATATATTTTTGTTCATGAATCTTCCTTTTGTCTTATTTATGAATTTTATCTTGTTCATGAATAGAGATTCATTGTTTTGGTGTCCTTTTGTCTTGTTCATGAATGAAGTTTAATTAGAATTCATAAATTTGGTGGTGAATTCATATTTGGATATACTCTCCCTTTTCTCTAGGTTCATGGTCATTATTATTTTTTGATGTATTTTGTAAGTCCTAGTAGCCTATAAATAATTCCTCACATTCACTCTTTTCTACACCAACACATCAACTATTTTCTATACAAGAGAGATTACTAGCAAAGAATGGTGTTTTCTTGATGGAGTTTTGGATTCACCATCTTGTGCGGAGTTGGCCTGAACCATACGACAAATGATCGGGCTGTTGTATCGTGGAGGGGACAAGTCATAGTTTTGTGACTACTGTATCGGTATTTGGGTTCTTCCTACCGCAGTGGGCTTGATCTCCTTAAAGAAAACAAGATATCTGTGCCTCAGCCTCATCTATTTGTATCTCTTTTTCTTTGCATTATTTATCAATAAAATATATTTTTTCTGGTATTTTCACCAACAATTTTAAGGAGATCAACCATGGAACAAGTACTAGAAAAAACCAATGATGGAATTGGAGATCTCAACAAACCTTTCAAGTTCAAGGGAAGTCATTTTAAGAGGTGGAAAGGGAAAGTTCTTTTTTACCTCAGCCTTTTGAAAGTTGCATATGTTCTTACCGAGAAGAACCAAACAAAATCCGAACCGAGGAGATGAATGATAAAGACTACGAGGCACATGAAGCAAAAGTGGCTTCCTAAAATACAGATGAATATAAATGTCGCTTTTATCTCTTAAATTGCCTTGCTAATTAATTTTATGATTATTACTATGACACCGCTTACACTTTGTCTTCTATTAATTTTTTGGCATGCTCGCTTGTGTCATATTAACAGCAAATATGTGGGAATCATGAGTAGTTTATGATTAATTCCTAAAGTGACAAAAAATTTTGAGAAATGTGAAGTTTGTAGTAAAGTAAAAATTACCAAGAGGCCTCATAAAAGTGTTAAAAAAATACCAAATTGCTAGCATTATTTCATACTAATTTGTGTGAGTATGAAGGAATTTTAACTCGGGGTGGTAACCGATATTTTATCACTTTTATTGATGATTTTTCAAAATACACAAATGTATATTTATTAAAAAATAAAAGTGATGCTTTTGAGAAATTTAAAGAATTCCTTCTTCGGTAAAAAGATTAAGAGAATTAAAAGTGATAGAAGCTGGAAGTATGAATCTCTTGGATTCAACTCTTTTGTTTAGTCATTGGAAATTATTCATGAGACTACTCCACTATATTCACCTTCATCTAATGGCGTAACTAAAAGAAAAAATAAAACGTTAATTGACTTGACGAATGCTATGCTTATTGATTCAGGTGCTCCCTCAAATCTTTAGAGCGAGGCTATTTTGACAGCTTACCATGTGATAAATAGAGTGCCACACAAAAAGATTAAAATTGTACCTTATGAGTTGTGGCGGGGGCATAAACCAAATCAAGGTTATTTGAGGGTTTTGGGTTGTTTAGCTTTTGTGAGGCTTGCAGATCCTAAACGACCTAAATTGGGTAAATGAGCTACCACTTGTACTTTTCTTGGGTATGCGCTGCATAGTACAACTTATAGATTTTTTGATGTGGAAAATAATATTATTTTTGAATCAGATGATGCTATTTTTTATGAAAATAAATTTCCTTTCAAATCTAGAAATAGTGGGGGTCAAATAATTTCTAAAAATATTTTATTTGTGCCTAACTCTTCTACTCCTTCTCAAGTTTCTCAAGAATAAGAAAATTTTCAAATCCAACCAAGAAGAAGTAAACAAGTTAAAGTTGAAAAAGATTTTGGCCCTGACTATTATCTTTACAATGTGGAAAAAATTCCTCTTACGGTGCAAGAAGCTTTATCATCACCTGATGCTATTTTCTAGAGAGAGGCTGTAAATGATGAGATAGATTCACTACTTTCAAATAAAACATGGAAGCTAGTGGATTTACCTCCATGTTGTAAAACTATTGGGTGTAAATGAGTCATTCATAAAAGACTTAAACCGGATGAAACTATAGATAAATATAAAGTGAGGCTTGTCGCTAAAGGTTTTAAGCAACAAGTTGATTTTGATTTATTTGATACTTTTTCTCCGGTTACTAGAATTACATCCATTAGACTGTTGATAGCAGTGACTGCAATTCATGATTTAAAAATTCATCAAATTGATGTGAAAACAACATTTTTAAATGGAGATCTAAATGAGGAGATTTACATGGACCAATCCGAAGGCTTTGTGGAGCCTGGCCAAGAAAGCAAGGTATGTAAGCTAACTAAATCCCTTTTATGGTTTAAAACAAACTTCTAAACAGTGGCATGAGAAATTTGATTCCGGCATGCTTGAGAATGACTATAAGACTAATGAATGTGATAAGTACATATATTATAAAACTTGTGAGAATGCACATGTGATTATTAGCCTATAAGTGGGTGATCTACTTATCTTTGGCTCTAATTTACATATTATAAATGAGACTAACAATATGCTTAATAGTCACTTTGATATGAAAGATCTTGGTGAAGCCAATTTTTTTTGGGAATTAAAATTACCAAAACTAAGGATGGCATTTTTTTTTTTATTAGTCGTATTATGTTGAGAAAATTTTAAAGAAATATAATTTTCTAGACTGTAAACATGTTGCTACTCCTTTTGATGCAAGCATACATTTATCTATTGTCAAAAATGAAAAAGAAGTGATTAATCAAAACGAATAAGCTAGCATGATTGGTAGTTTGAGATATGCTATTGACTATACTAGACTTGACATTGCATATGCTGTTGGAGTACTTAGCAGGTTTACTAGTAAGCCAAGTCGAGATCATTGACTAGCCATGGGAAAAATTATGAGATATTTATCTGGTACCAAAAATTATGGTTTGTTTTATAACAAGTATCCTGCGGTACTTGAGAGATATAGCGGTGCCGATTGGAACACTTTGTCAGGTGATTCTCTCTCTACCTCGGGCTTTATTTTTACCTTGGGTGGTGGTGCTATTAGTTAGAAGTCTAAAAAATAGACTATAATTGCTAATTCTACTATGGAAGCTGAACTTATAGCGTTGGCTTCAGCATGTGAGAAAGCGAATTGGTTGAGAGATTTGTTACATGAAATTCCTTTTTGGGAAAAACCAATTCCTCCTGTGTTAATTCGGTGTGATAGTACTGTGTAGACGCGCCCGAATGTCTTGGGAAAATCCCGTTTTGTTCATTGGACTCACTACAGTTCGGACTCAAATGTCACGGTTCTTAATCTGATCTTGCAAAGTGCAATGCAAGATTGATAAATCACCAAAGAGTCCAAATCCGACAAATCGTTTTGAAAAACTGATTTTTAAAAAGAAGTGCCAAACATGGACTGCTTTGCTAGATACAGAGTCGCCACCTAAATATTTTATTTTTGGAAAATTTCAAAAACTCTGACTCGTGCCTAAGGCCACGTGTCCGTCATCACCAAAGTTATCTCGACTCGGGAACTTGGGTACGAGAAATGAAGGTCATGCAATAAGCACCCCCGCTCGCCCAATCAAAGATCAGCCTTTACTAACATGATATCTTGTTTTTGAAAACACATGTGCTCTTATTCCGGTTATTAACCTAAAATTACTATGTGATGCGCACAGCATACAAATATAGACTAGATCGCCTAAGTTGGAACAAAACATCTCATGTTTGTTTTTTAAAGCGGTTTGCTACCCGCAAGTAGGTTAAAATACGGATTTTGCCGCCCTCAAGTAGGCTTAGAAAACATGGTGATTTGCCACTCTCAAATGGGCTTAAAACTCGCAATCAATGAATTGTTCCAATACAAGTAATCCAACCTTCACCCACAGGCTTTCAGGCAGTTATATCACATAAACAGTTAGCCTCATAGCAAGCATGCTACCATGGCAGTCACTCACACACATGCAAGGATGCTAAAACATAAGCACTCACTGAGTACTCCGAGCCAAAACAAAAGCTATGTTAGAAATCAATGCATGATCCTAGCTATGTCAAGAATGCCTAATGCAACACATACAAAATGCAACTAAAATAGCCTCGGTTATTCTAAAATGTCATGTGAAATGCAATTTGATACATGTATTCAAACAGGAATTAAAATACAATGCAATTAGTATGATGCGCCGAGCCCGGTGCATGCAAAACAGATGAATGGATGCAAACATGCGAGCATAAGGAATGGAGGTTGAAACATGCCCTAAGACTAACCATCGTAAGCTGGTAAATAAAAGGGAGAAAGAAATGGAGGTTGGAAGACATGCATCACACACACGCACACTTATTTACAACAGTTGTGCCCTTTCGACGGAGGGTCCGAATAAATAATACAGAACCGACTAATTGACTAAATATTCTAGTTAATTAATTATTACACAACCAAATTGAAACAAATACACATTCTAAGCTAACAAAAGTATTGAAATGGCCTCGTGACGAGAGATGCATACATGCTCGAATTGCCTCGCTCAGAAATCCATCGCGATGCCCCGATTTGCCTCTGTTTGCAACTGGTCCCAGAACACTGCACAAAGCTTCAGAAGGTTGAAACTCCACCACGGGAACCTGTAGAGATGCTGCCGACAAGTTGTTGGCATTGGAGACCACCTGCCGACCACTTTTTATGCT